CTGGACTATGGGACATAAAATGATACTTGTGAAGAGTGTGCTTCTTAGCTCAAGTAGATACATGAGACTAAATGGCAGCTCCTGTCCAGAAGTGAGATGAGATGGCAGAGAGGGTCAGAAGCTGGTTGAATGGACACAGGAAATCAGGGGTGGAAAGGAGGAGTGTGCTGTCACAGTATACAGAGAGCAATTAGGGTCACATAACAATGTATGTATAAATTTTTGTATGAGAGACTAACTTGAATTGTAAACTTTCACTTAAAGTACAACAATAAAACAAAATAATTGGTCCCTAACCAGCAGCGTTAGCATCACCTGGGAACTTGTTAGAAATGCAAATTCTCAGCAGGGGTTCGAACTAGGAAGAACCGGTTCAAAGTCCTGGTTAGAGGGACTGCACAGCTGAAACAGTGGACTCAAACATACCAACAACCATGAAGATGGTGCAAGACTGGGCAACATTTTGTTCTGTTATACATAAGGGCACCATGAGTTGGAGCTGACTGAATGGCAACTAACAACAACAAATAGTGGGACAGAAGGATACCGCAGTGGATTTTTGCGTTGACCAGAAAGAAAACAGGAAAGAACAAGAACTGGCATTCATATTATTATCTCAAGAGCTAAAATGTTGCCTCCTTGTTGGAAACTAGATTTCAGGGGGATGATCTCTGAACACAGAAGGAACTTTCTTGTAGTAATCTCCTAAACTGTCCTGAAAGAACACCAACTGAGAAATACTTCTAACAGCAAATACACATAAACTGTAGAGTCCTGACAGTCGAGAGGTGCTGCAGAGGGAGGGTTGGAAGGAAATGAAAACAGGATGACACTCTCATACTTTGCTAGACTATCAGCGCTAGATAGGGTCTTTGACATCATATGGCCTGGGCTTTCCCAAACTTTCTCATTTGCATTCCACCTTCATCTCACCTCCTTTACTATTAATTATCTAATATTTTTATTGTAATTCAAGGGTTTAATATGTTGTTATATTTTTCTAAGGCCCATTAAAACTATTAAAATAAAAATGTTAATGTCATATGAAATATCTATAATAGGCAAATGTATAGAGAACAAAGTTTATTAGTGGTTACCAGGGGCGAGAGGGAGGGGGAAAGGTTAAGCCATTGTTTAAGAAGCAGTGAGTCTCTGTTTATGGTGATGAGAAATTTGGCAACAGATATTGATGGTGGTTGCACATGATTTGTGTAATTGATGTCACTAAATTGTACACATGAAAAATGTTAAAATGGCAAATGTGTTATATATATTTTTGCAACAATAAAAAAAAGAAAAGTAAAAAAAAGTCTTTTTTAAAAGTCTGTCAGTGTATCAGACTTGGAGAAACACTCATTTTAGAAACCCAGCTGCATAACCTTGACAGTCAGGGAGGTGGGCTTATTTACAAAATAGTCTCTATATCTGACTGTTTCAATGTGACTATGAAGTTCTCCTAAACTTAGCATGTAAGTATTGAAATCCTTACTGTTTACAACCTGGCTTTTCTGCAGCTAGGAACATTTTGAAAGATAATCAAAAAGAAAGGTGTTTACACTCTAAATGGGGAGAAGAATTCCAAACTTGCTTGTGTTTCATGTATTTACTAAAAAGGTATATCAAGATTGAGCTAATCTTGCAAGAGTAGATAAGGTCACAGGAGTGGGAACAGATCACAGACTTGGGAGGTGGCAGAGTATATTGCAAAGAGCAAGGAGTTCTCTCAGGAAGGTGAAGTGTATATACATATATATATATATATATATGGAGACCTGGTGGTGCAGTGGTTAAGAGCTACAGCAGCTACTAACCAAAAGGTCAGCAGTTCGAATCCACCAGCCACTTCTTGGAAACCCCATTGGGGCAATTCTACTTTGTCCTATAGGATCGCTATGAGTTGGAATTGACTCGACGGCAACGGTTTGGTTTACACACAAACACACACACACACACACACATATATACACATAGTTTTTTAAATTATCTATAGTAAACATTTATGTTTATGATCAATAGGACATAATTTATTTTAAGCCTGAATTTTGGAGTCAGTCAGACCCAGATTTATATGTTGCCTCTGTTATTTAAAACTGTTCATGACCTTAAGTAAGTTACTTAACCTCTCTGAGCCTGGATTTTTGAATTGATAAAATTAGAGATAATGAGATCCTTACAAAGTGTGGTAAAGAGGATATGAAAATCTCCTGTCACAGTGACTGGACATCAGTAGCAATTAATTAATGTTAATTCTCACCTTCTCCCTACATGACACGTGAAATTTTTCTAAAGAAAACTGCTGAGGATATAACAGGCCCTTACAATGCTCCTCACATAAAGTGAAACCCTTATGGCTCTCGTTACCTTGACCGAGGCTGGTCCCTTCCAGTTCAGGTACTGCTCTAGTTCTGTGCCCTTAGCCCGGGCCCTGGAGGAGTCAAACACTTTCCTCTTGGAACCCAGCATCCTGCTGCAAACGTTGGAGTGCCTCTCCAGCCTGAGCAAGAGAAACTTGCGTCCACAGTGGCTGCACCTGCCAAGTATGGGCTCTTCAGTGGAACAGCTGGAGCCTGAGGAGTCTGGTGCCCTGGACAGGCTAGAATTGCTGGTGGATCCCTGCACAGCATTGCCTGGTGCTTCTGAAGGCTGAGAAAACTTCTCTGTCAACGGCCCTGAGGCTTTGTCTCGGATTTTGTTACTGCTTGCTACAGGTCCTTCCCTTTTGAGCCTCTGTATCCCATAATCAGAGAACTGGAATGGACTAGAATTTTCTTGCAACTGTCCCCAAGTTTCGCTCTCTCTCCTGTCTCTGCTGAACACCTCTTCAAGCCCAAATTCTGGAGAGAAGGTAGGTTTGTATATGGTGTTGCTGCTATTACCTTTAACTCTCCTCTTGGAGAGTGTCATTCTCTGTATCTCTCTTTTTTCATTTCCCTCGGCCTGCTCCTTTTCCCTCTGGATTCTTCTGAGCTCCTCCTCTGTCTTTTTCAGCTTTTCCCTCAGGAGGGTCTCCTTTCTTCGGATTTCCTCCTCTAAGCTCTCCCCTGCAGCTTCTAGTCTTTGGATCTGCAACTGCTCAGTTCTGTCAGGCTTTGCCCTGGCCCTCTGCCCCTGCATGGCAGCAAGAACAGGACCAACCACAGATGAATTCACTCGGTTCTTTGAACCAAAGCTGCTGTATGAAAAGTCTCCTGGCTCAGGGAGTCTTGGAGAGACATTCTGGTCCTCATCAGCACCAGCCTCACCTGTACTATGAGATTTCCGGTGGAATACAGGTTTCAGTGGGTATGCCCGGTCCACCCCAACTCGCTTCTTTGTAAAGGGGATGGCGTCCTGGTTATTTGCTTTGGGATGCCAGCACTGAGACGACTGAGGGTCTGATAAGTAAAACAAACCCTTTCCCCGGCCCTGAGGATTGGTTCCTGAATCTTGCTGGCTGATTCCAGCACAGTGGGGATAAGAGTAGCTCCGGGCTTTTGTGAAGGTGTTCCATTTGGGTTGAGTGTAGAGATTATCCAGCATCAGCTCTTTGTTGCTCAAAAGCTTCCGCTGGATGTTGTTCCTCTGGTGCCCCATTGAGGACCGCTGGGGAGAGTCACCTTGTTCATAAGGGTCTTGCTTGGCTGAGTGGAGCCCTGGAGCTTCCGTTTTATTATATGGGAGCATAACGCCCACAGGCAGATGTGGTGCCAACTGGAGACCAGCCATTCAGGACCTGGAATGAAGCCTAGGGGAGAGTTAAAACATGTGAAGAGTCTGTCTGAGGTTCACTCTGGGCTGCTTAAGTAAACTTTCTACATTTGCCCTACCCACATTTTCCCTTGAACTTTTTTTTGGGACAGTGGTGCTGGGTCTGCCAGAGTTTCGTTCAAGGAGCATTTTGTCAGTGCGTACTATGTTAGACCCTGAGAATAGAATAACGAATGTGACACAGGTGTTGCATACCTACCCCTAGTTTTCCTTTCCACCAGGACCAGCCTCTGCCATACACAGCGGCTGCTCCTGTCATACTCTGTATATTCCATAGTAGGTGGAAAGAGCATGCTTTGGAAGTCAGGTTTTAGGTCCGTGACGCAGGTCAAGCGACTTTCCCTTGCTGGCCTCAACTTTCTTTACCTGTAAACTGAGGGGCCCAGCCAGTTAGTTACACGACTGAAGCTTAGGTACCTTAGGAGTCCGAGTCCCGCCCCCACCACTTTACAGGATAGAAAGCTGCGGCCTCGAGTTAAGAGACTGGCCAGGAAGCTCTCCCGTTCCCTCCTGCTGGAACCGTGCCTTGATTCCAGAGAGCACAGAGGCCGCTCAGGGCCGGGAGCAGGCGCCTGGCAGTCAAACTCTCATCCAAGGAGTCCCCGCGGCCACACAGCGGAGAGTGTAACCTGAAAGGTAGAGGCCACCTGACACAGCCGCGGCCGCGTTTAGATCCAAAATGCGGTAGTCACTGTCGGTCCTGGAGGGTCAACCGGAGGCCCACTGGGGACTCCGGCTTCGGGGACCAGGCCTCGCTCCCTGCCCCTGGCAGGTGGGGCCTCGGGAGGTGGAGGTGCTGACCCCATGTCTCCCCCTCCCTTCTGCCGTACCTGAGGCTCTCGGGGACCGCTCCCGCTCAGGGTAAACCCCAGGACTTAGTTTACCGCACCAGACCCTTCAACCGACGGCGCCGCGCAGGCGCTTTCAGTGGGCCTCTGTTATTCCCGTTGCCCAGAGACTGGAGCTTGGAGCACTCCAAGCCCCGCCTCTCGCCGCGAGCGCCGCCAGGGAAGCGCGCGCAGGCGCAGTCCGCGCGGTGTCCGCAGCGGCGGGGGCGGGCAGTGCGGTCAGCTCTAGTGTCACTTGACTCGGTGTCCTGCCAAATTTGCAACTCCTTGGGGAGCGGGGGAGGGGGCAGGAGAGGTTTTTCTGGAGCTCTAGCAAAAAAGAACTTGTAGTTTTTCTGAGAAAGATGTTCCCAGACCCTGGGATGTGCCCTTCTCTGGCAAAGGACGGAGCGCTTAGATGTGCCATGGAGTCATTCTGCAGCCGGATTCCGGTGTCCGCCCACTTAGCGGGAGTGTGCGTGCTGATAGCCTTTCTTAGCACCCTTGGCGGTTGTGCACAGGCCCCAGGTATGCTGTGTAGATATCTCTCATGCTTTCCTCGCCAATAGGTTGGAGCTTGCAGTCACATTGTAGCAACTCGTCTAAGTTTTGCTACGCAGTATCTTTTCAGGGTAGTTTTTGTGGCCAGTCTAATTATTTTGATTTTACAATGGGTTCTTCTCACGTGGTAACTGTGGCCTGGTCCTCTTAGGCCCCAGAAATGACTCAGTCAAATACAATGATGACAAAGTTAACTGCCAGATCAAAAATATTCATTATAACCAGGTTTCAACACTAAATGATACTGTATAAATTATTAACATCAGAAGAGAGTTTGTCTTCCTCACGCTTCAGTTCACTTGTGTAAGCCGTTTGGAACAGACATCTGACTTTTTTCCTGTAACTACTCAAAAGATTCCTGCAAGTGGAAAATAATGTAGGCGGCAGTAGTCGGTGTTAACACTACAGCAAGTCATATTACAGCCTTCACATGTTACAAAGAAATTCCTTGGTGGGCCCTCCAGGGCAATCCTTTTATTCCTTACTGGTTGACTCTCTACTACCATCTACATATATGCAGTTCCAGACATTTTCTGCTCTTCTCAAGGTCCCACTCATCTGAATAACGTGGGACCTTCCTGTCTGTCAACTGCCATGGCTTCCCTCCACCCTGGTAGAATTTCCCACCGTGCCTTCCTTCATCCTAACTTCCTTCCCTCTGTTTCTGAGGAAGAAAGTTCTCTCTTTACAGGTGTTGTTTTGAATGAATCCATTTCAGGACCTTCTACGACTTGACCGGTTACTTTAACATCGTGTTAACCCCAAGTTGTGCCTCTCCACAGCTCCTTCTCTTTGGTTTTAAAAATATGCTTAACTTCTCCCTGCGAAACAAACCTCATTTCTCTTGACCTGCCGCTTCTCATGTTCGGGTCCATTCATTTCTCCACAGGACACCTTAATAGAAAACTCTACCTTTGCTGCCTCCACTTTGTCATCTCCCCTTCACTGTACAGTTCCATTGTGGTCTGGGTTCCATCCTTTCCACTTTAACCAGCAGCCTTCGAATGACCAAAGGCAAAAGCTTCTATTTCTTCAGCCTACTCATTTGACATTAGTGATTGCTTATCCCCTTGGAATGCTCTTCTTACTTGCCTCTGTGCCCTCTCAATTTCTTCTTCCATGTCCTTTCTCCATTTTCTTCCAGGTCTTTGACACTTATGTCTTACCCCGCCTGCCTCCTAGATTTAGGTATTCTCCTAAACCCTCTTATTTCTCAGTATTCTTTTCTTTAATAATCTCAACCAAACGCTGACATTTCAGCTCTCACCTCTGTTTAGATGATATCCAGCTCTTGCCTTGGTCTGTCTCCTTAGTTCTAGACTCAATTTCCAACTGCCAATTTAGCATCTCCATGTGAATGCTTCTCAGGAAACTTGTTATGGATCAAATTGTGTCCCCCCTAAAATATGTGTTGTAAATCCTAACCACTATACCTGTGATGTAATCCCATTTGGGAATAAAGTTTTCTTTGTTAATGGGGCCATATCAGTGTAGGGTATGTCTTAAGCCAATCACTTCTGAGATATAAAAGGAACAGATCAGGCACAGAAACAAAGAAGCACACAGATGGGAGTAGATAGATGCCATCCTACATGAAGATCCCCAAGGAAATGAGGAACAGAAGCTGAAAAGAGACAAGGACCCTCCCCCAGAATGGACAGAGAGAGCCTTCCCCTAGAGTTGGTGCCCTGAATTTGCACTTCTAGTCTCCTAAACTGTGAGAAAATAAGTTTCTATTCTTTAAAACCACACACTTGTGGTATTTCTGTTATAGCAGCACCAAGAAACTTAAGACAAACCAAGAACTCAATATGACAGAAAACAATGTTATGATCATCTTCACATTCTCAGTCTACTTCTCCCATGTTTCCTCTCCTGCTTAAAGCATCAGTAATCTTCCACTCCTCCCTCTTTGTCACCCCTCCCTTCTAACTCATCAGCAGGTTTTGTTGACTCTACCTCTGCAGTGTTTCTCATATATGACCCTCCTTTACATTTCTATGTCCTAAGTGATTTCTTCCTCACTTCTCATCCAGACAATATCACCCTCCTAACTACTATTCTTGCCTTCAATATCGCCAGCCCATACTTCATGCCACCGCCAGAATAATCGTCCTAAATACTTCTGATCCTATCATTTTCCTCCCCCATTGACTTCTTCTGTAGAATAAAGTTGGAATTTAGCATGGCATTCCAACCTCCCAGATTGCGTCCAGCCTAACTTTCCAGCCCTACCTCCTTTTAATAAACCCCAGAGTTTAGTCCACTGGTTCTCAACCCTGGCTGCACTTTGGGACTACCTGGAAAGCAATATCTGGTAATGAGGCCTGGACATTGGTATTTTAAAAAGCTTTCGCAGAGGTCCTAATGCACAGCCAGGGTTGAGAACCCCTGGTGATAATCTACTTGCACTCTCTCGCCTCAGTGGAAATACCTTACCACAGCTTCATGTACTAGGAGATGGTAGATTATATGATTTATGGGGGTAGGTTCTGGACTCAGACTGCCTCGGGCTAAATCCCAACTCCATCACTTACTGGTTGTGGTTGTGTAACCTTGGATAAAATGCTGCTTCCTCCAAGAAACCTTTTCCAAGCTTTCTAGTCAGAATTAATCTCTTTGCTCCTTTTGTGCTTCCATAGTATTTTCTGTCTTTGTTATAGCACAGGACAGGCTCATGATGACTCTCAATGGATGTTCATGGAATTGAATTACCATGTTGTGCATTGTACTGTCATTATTTACATGCATGTTTGTTCTTTACACTAAATTCAAGATTCTTTGAGGTTAAAGACTATGTATCATTCATCTTTGTATATCCTCCTGCACTGTCCTGTACCTTGTAGACACTAAGTAAGTTTTGAATTCTATACAGAAACTTATTTTAAAAAACACATTTTAGAAGAAGAAATAACATCAGCTGAGTACTCTGTTTAGCTTTATTTTCAAATATTGCCAAGCATAACATTTAATCCAGGCCACTTCCAGCGCTCATGTTTTATGATTCTTTAGGATGTGGATTCTCACTCTATAGTAGAAAGCTGTTGTTAGGTGCCATCAAGTAGATTTTGATTCATAGTGACCCCGTGTGACAGAGTAGAACTGCCCCATAGGGGTTTCTAGGCTGTAATCTTTATACAGGCAAACTGCCAGGTCTTTCTCCTGCAGAGCTGATGGGTGGGGTTGAACTGCCAACCTTTCAGTTAGCAGCTGAGTGCTTAACCATAGCACCACCTGGGCTCCTTATAGTGGGAAACTGGTGGGATGATGAATCTCCATTGCCTCCACTGCAAACCTATCTCACCAAACCTGCCAACCTGGCATATTCACATGTGCAGGGTTATGCTATGAAGGGAGGTAATGTATACAAGCAATCCAAAGAGAAATGAGAAATACCAGCTTTCCTTCATACACAGTATTAATCATAAGGCTAGCTAGACTCAAATGCCTACCAGTGGACCCTAATTTTAACCATCCTAACCCACAACCTCCCTAGACAATTCTCTTTTCCCAAAATAAACTTGCAGTTTGGTCATTTGTCTTAGATTGGTTGACTCAATTGTGATTCTGGAGCCATGAGTTATTTTGCTTAAGCTTTGGCTTTCTTTTTTTAGACAAGTGTTATTTGAAATTTTCTTAGTAAATTAGACGAAGATGGGCAACTTCCAGAACAGAGAGGAAGAAATAACCTCTACTGGAACCTCTTGTGGAGCCCTGGTGGCACAGTGGTTAAGAGCGTGGCTGCTAACCGAAAGGTCGGCAGTTTGAATCCACTGGCAGCTCCTTGGAAACTCTATGGGGCAGTTTTACTCTGTCCTGCAGAGTCACTATGAGTTGGAATCGACTCGACAGCAACAGTTTGTTGTTGTTACTTGTTTATTTTTTGTGGGGGGGAACCTTTTGTACTTTTGTCTCTCCCGCTTCCAATTCCAGACATGACCCCAAATTTGGGGAGAACTACAAGCAAAAGTCAGGGCAGAAAGGTTGCATTATGCATCTTAATTTATTTGTCTGTAATATTTAATCTTCAGAATCTAAGTTCCTCCAGGGCAAGGATCCTGTCTATTTTGTCCACTAATGTGTACCAAGCATCTAGAACAGTGCGTGGCACACAGTAGGCTCTCAATAAATACTTATTGAATGAATGAATGTATCCTAAGTGCTCCTTCGTCTATGTATTTCTCTTCATTAGCAAATGAAGAAAGGAGTTCACTTAGTGACTGAGGTGGGGGAGACAGACTATACGTGGGGTGAGGGCCCCGTTCGTGGCGTCCGCGCGGACACCCTGGACAGATTCCCAACCCCAGGCTCACTTGGCTCCCCGGTGACAGCGTCCCGAAGTCCCACCCTTTAGGCGGGCTCTGGGCCGAGCACGCCGTCTCTGATTGGCCGAGCCGACGTTATGGGCATGAAACCCAGCGAAGGAAGAGCGGCACTCTAAGCTTCCGGGCGAGGCGGTTGGCGCCGCTGCGGGAGCCGTTTGGCGTGGTGGTCACCCGGCTGGTCCTGGCGGCCTTCGAGGAAGACGAGGAGGGTGAGCCCTGAACGGGGCCCCGGGGAGTGCACGTCAATTCAGTTAGCCCTAAAATGTTAGCAGAGGGTAATTCTGACGGCCGCGGGGAAGCCGGGCCGGTGGAAGGCAGGAATGGGTGGGAGCGGGATCGCAGTGGGTTTAAGGAGGGGTAAACAAGTAATTGCCCCAAAAGAGGACTCTGTGGTTGGTTACGACCCGAAGCTCTCACGTCCAGGTGTCTCTTACTTCACACACGCGTATATACACGTATACTGTTCGAATTTTGGAGACCTTAAGGTCGGGGAGAGGTCGCAGTGGTTTAGGATGGAGAAGTGTGGGTGTGGCCCTTTCTGCCTCAGGACTAGGGGTACTGAATATTCCTTTACTTTTCTGCTTTCCTGGTCTCTGACAGGTTTGAGCATGGCAGAAGGACACACCTTGATATCAGTGGATTATGAAATTTTTGGGAAGGTGCAAGGGGTGTTTTTCCGTAAGTACACACAGGTATGTGGCCTACAGGCTTTGGGGACATACAGGTCTTGAGCATGGGAGCAAGAGACATGTTTCTGGCAAATGTGAACTGGAAGAAGTTGCATGGAACGAAGATTGTAGAGCAGTGAGTATGAAAATACTTTGCAATCGGTAAAACAATGTAAATGGAAGATTCTACAGCTATTATTGTTGATCTTTTTCTGACAGTGGTACCCAAACTCTGAGACACATATGTGCCTCTTTTCTGAAGGGGAATAGAGGGCTTCCCTAGTTCTCCCTTTCTGGCATCATCAAACCAAGTCACATTTCCTGTGGGAAAGCTAACATTGATGGAACAGACAGCATTTAGATAAACCAATGACATTATGTAATTTATGTAATTGTTCCTTTATAGCTGCTGAATTTTCTTCAGACACCTTTTTTCTCATTTCTCCAACCATTCCCCTTGTCCCCTACTTAATTCCTTTCTATTCATTTTAACTTTGAAAGGACAATTACCTCTCCAGCTGAAGCTTTTCTAATTAAAAATACTTTATCCATTCATGGATAACACTGAATGTGGAGTCTGTCATGCTAATTGGAGTAATAGGGAACGGTTTAGGGAAGGAACAATTAGCAGCATCTCTATCTGCTTTAGTGTCACTAATCTTCCCTCAGTATGCACACACAAATGCAACCTCAAGTTCCCTTCTGCCTTTTGTAGGGGACTGTTGGGCTAGTGCCCTTCTAGTGTATCTCCAGCCCCAAAGATCAAGTAACAGCATAATAAAAGGAGAAAATATTGATGTTGTCAAAGATTTCATTTTACTTGGATCCACAATCAATGCCCATGGAAGCAGCAGTCAAGAAATGAAATGACATGTGAGTAGCATCTGGGGTCTTAAAAGCTTGTGAGCAGCCATCTAAGATACTCCACTGGTTCCACCCCAGCTGGAGCATGAGAGAATGAAGAAGACTAAAGACACAAGTGAAAGATTAGTCCAAAGGACTAACGGACCACAACTGCCACAGCCTCTACCAGACTGAGTCCAGCACAACTGGATGGTGCCCAGCTACCACCAACGACAGCTCTAACAGGGATCACAACACAGGGTCATGGAAAGAGCTGGAGAAAAATGTAGAACAAAATTCTAACTCACAAAAAAAGCCTAGACTTACTGGTCTGCGAGAGACTGGAGAAACCCCCAGAGTATGGCCCCCGGACACCCTTTTAACTCAGTACTAAAGTCACTCCTGAGGTTCACCCTTCAGCCAAAGATTAGACAGCCCCATAGAATAAAATGAGACTAAATGGGCACACCAACCCAGGGGCAAGGATGAGAAGGCAGGAGGGGACAGGAAAGCTGATAATGGGGAACCCAAGGTCAAGAAGGGGAGAGTGTTGACACATCGTGGGTTGGCAATCGATGTCACAAAATGATATGTGTATTAATTGTTTAATGAGAAACTAATTTGCTCTGTAAACCATCTAAAGCACAATAAAAAAAAGGAAAAGGCAAAAAAATAATAAAATATTAAAAAATGATGTACAAAAAGAATAAAATGATGTATTGCATTGGGCAAACCTGCTGCAAAAGACCTCTTGTGTTAAAAAACAAAGATGTCACCTTGCACACTAAAGTGTGCCTGACCCAAGCCATGGTATTTTCAGTCACCTCATATGCATGCAAAAGCTGGACAATGAATAAGGAAGACTGAAGAAGAACTGATGCGTTTGAATTAAGGTGCTGGCAAAAAACACTGAGTATACCATGGACTGCCAGAAGAATGAACAAATCTGTCTTGGAAGAAGTACAGCCGGAATGCTCCTTAGAAGCAAGGATAGCAAGACTTCGTCTCAAGTACTTTGAACATGTTATCAGGAGGGACCAGTCCCTGGAGAAGGATGTCACGCTTGGTAAAGTAGAGAGTCAGTGAAAAAGAGGAAGACCCTTAACAAGATGGATTGACACAGTAGCTACAACAGTGGGTTCAAACATGGCAACAATTGTGAGGATGGCACAGGACCAGGCAGTGTTTTGTCTATTGTACATGGGGTTACTATGAGTTGGAACTGACTCGATGGCAGCTAACAACAACAGTTGGGCTAGTGCCCTTCTAGAGTATCTCCAGCCCCAAAGATCATAAGATAGGACTGCAGAACTTATACTAGTGTCAAATTCCTGGCACTGTGGCACCTAAAATTCAAATCTGAGTCTTTGAAAGATGAATGTTAAATGTCAATACCTCTTTTTCCAATTACTTGCAAATCATTTCCTCCTATTTCGTATTCATATGTGAAGCACCTGTTAAAAGAAAGAATTATTGAAAGTCTTAGCAAAGCTATGTTCCAGTTAGCTGTGCTACCAGTTATACAGGGTAAGTTCCTGTGATTTAGTAAATGGAGGTGACAGCTTCAAAGATTAATTAAAGTTGTTGAGGGAGAAGGACCAGATGGTGGTATATAACTCCTCTTCCTCCACCTCCTCAAATTTAAAAGAGAATAAAAGAATGCAGAATAAGAAATATTGATTTGGAAAACTTCAAAGAAAATGCAATCTTTTTTCTTCTTAATTAGACTTACAGCTTATTCTTTACTACTCACAATCATTTAAATATATACATATTTAACAGTTTTGCTATAGTCTGTTTGCAAGCTGATATCATCTAGCCTCTAAATTCCATCTCTCCTAGAGGAGTAGTGAGTGAGAATATAGGAAGGGACTTTTTTAAGTTTTTCCCATACAAAAATTTATACATGCATTGTTATGTGACTAATTGCTCTCCCCCTACTGTGACAGCACACTCCTTCTTTCCACCCCTGATTCCCCATGTCCATTCAACCAGCTCCTAACCCTCTCTGCCTTCCCATCTTACCTTTGGACAGAAGCTGCCCATTTAGTCTCTTGTATCTACTTGAGCTAAGAGGCACACTCCTCACGAACATCACTTTATGTCCCACAGTCCAGTCCAAACCCTGTCTGAAGAGTTGGCCTCAGAAATTGTTTTAGTTCTGGGCTGATAGAGAATCCAGGGGCCATGCTTTCCGGAGTTCTCCAGTCTCAGTCAGACCATTAAGTCTGGTTGTCTTACTAGACTTTGAGTTCTGCACTCCACTTTTCTCCTGCTCCATCTGGGACTCTCTCTGGTGGTCATTGCTGGTAGCCGGGCACCATCTAGTTCTTTTGGTCTCAGGCTGATAAAGTCTCTGGTTTATGTGACCCTTTCTGTCTTTTGGGCTAATACTTTCCTTGTGTCTTTGGTGTTCTTCATTCTCCTTTACTCCAGGTGGTTGGGACCAACTTGATGCATCTTAGATGGCCGCTTGCAAGCTTTTAAGACCCCAGATGCCACTCACCAAAGTAGGATGCAGAACATTTTCTTAATAAGCTTTGTTATGCCAATTGACCTAGATGTCCCCTGAAAGCATGGTCCCCAGACCCCTACCCCTGCTACTCTGTCCCTCAAAGTGTTTGACTGTATTCCGGAAACTTCTTAACTTTGGTTTAGTCCCATTGTGCCACCTTCCCCTGTAGTGTGTGCTGTCCTAGGAAGGGACTTTTTAAAAGTTAGAATATAATTCACATACCACAAAATTCACCCTTTTAAAGCATAAAATTAGTAGTTTTTAGGGTACTCAGAAAGTTGTGCACTATCTAATTCTGGAACATTTATATTACCCCGGAAAGAAACCTCATGCCCATTAGCAGTCATTCCTCATCCACTTATCCACACCCCAGCCCCTGGAACTAGTTTACTTTTTGTCTCTATGGATTTGCCTTTCTGTATGTTTAAATATGAATGGAATCATATACTATATGGCTTTTTGTGTCTGGCTTCTTTTACTTAACACAGTGTTTTCAAGGTTCATTCATATTGGGGTGTTTATCGATACTTTATTCCTTTTTATGGCTGAATAATATTCCATTATGTGGATATACCCACTACTAAACCAAACCCACAGCCATGGAATCAGTTCCGACCCTAGCAACTCTACAGGACAGAGTAGAACTGCCCCGTAGGGTTTCCAAGGTTGTAATCTTTATGGAAGCAGGTTGCCACATCTTCTGTGGAGCAGCTGGTGGATTTGAACCCCCAATTCTTCAGTTAGCTGCTGAATACTTTAACCACTGTGACATAAATTGAGGGGACCTTTGGGTTGTTTCCACTTTGGGGCTATTATGAATAATGCTGCTGTGAACATTGTGTACAAGTTTTTGTGTAGGCAATGTTTTTAATTCCTTTGGTTCTATAGACTTGGGAGTAGATTGCTGTGTCATATGGTAACTCTATGTTTAACTTCTTGAGATACTGCCAAACTATTTTCCAAAGCAGCTGCACCATCTTACGTTCCCACCAACAGTGTATGAGGGTAGCATTTCTCAATGTCCTCGTCAACACTTGTTCTTTTCTATTATAGCCATCCTAGTGGGTGTGAAGTTGTATCTCACTGCAGTTTTTTTTTTTTCATTCAAAAATTGTATACACAAATTGTTCTGTGACAGTAGTTGCAATCCCCACAGTGTGTCAGCATTCTTCCCCTTTCCCTTTCCACCCTGGGTTCTCTGTGTTAATTCGTCCAGTTTTCCTGTCCTTTCCTGTCTTCTCGTCTTTGCTTTTGGGCAGGTGTTGCTCACTTGGTCTTGTATACTTGATTGAACTAAGAAGCATGTTCCTCACGTGTGTTATTGTTTGTTTTACGGGCCTGTCTAATCTTTGGCTGAAAGGTGGACTTCGGGAGTGGCTTCAGTTCTGATTAGCAGGGTATCTGTGGGTTATAGTCTCAGAGGTTCCTCCAGTCTCTGTCAGACCGTAAATCTGGTCTTTTTTTTGGTGAAGTTGTATTTTACTTTTACATTTTTATCCTGTTCTGACCAGGACCTTCTGTTGTGATCCCTGTCAGAGTGGTTTTAAAAGCTTGTAAGCGGCCATCTAAGATACATCTATTGATTCCATCCCGTTCAGAGCAAAGGCGAATGAAGAAAACCAAAGACACAAGGAAAATATTAGTCCAAAGGACTAATGAACCACAT